TCTCCTCTCTCTCTCCCTCTCTCTCTCCCCATCCTCGATGTGCTCTCTCTCTCTCTCTCTCTCTCTCAAAAAAATTAACTTAAAAAAATTTAAAAAATTAAAAAAAAACCCACCTCCATTTGTGAATCATGCTCTGGTCATCTTTGGGAACTTTTGCAGCTTTTATAAAAAGTTTGCTAAGTTGTGCTGAGACACTGGGAAGGTCAGATCATTTTAACTATTCCCCACACATGGGTATTTTTCTATACACACCCAACTGTGCTATGCAACAGCCAGTGACAGTGCAGTACTGTGGCCTATACGAAGGAGAACCTTCCCTTAGAGAAATGTTCAAGATTGGGGGTCTTCTCTCTCCTCCAAGTCACAGGGACAAAGCTTCAGTATGAAATAAGGGTTTTCCCTCTGAAACTAGTAAGAACTCTACGGAAGCAAAGGTGATGGTGGGTGCAGGGTGAGTTGTGCAGGGAGCACAGAACCTGGGGATACATGAAGAGGAGTGAAGGGGAAGCTGACCAGGTGGGTTCTAGGGGTTTCTGGGGCTGAGGAAAGCACCTCAGGGGCCTGCTATCAATTCCTACTGATGGACTGGCTCTAGGTCCCAGAGTTAGTGTATTAGGAATGAACACACACTGGAGTGCCTGGGTGGCTCAGTCGGTGGGGTGTCTGATCCCATGGTGGGTGGGTTCAAGCCCCGCATCAGGCTCTGTGCTGGAAGTGTGGAGCCTGCTTGGGATTTTCTCTCCCTCTCTCTCTCTGTGCCCCTCCTGCATGCTTTCTCTCTCTCTCTGTCTCTTTCTCTCTTTCTCCAAATAAACTTAAAAAAAAAAAAAAAAAGAACACACACTTCAGATCAGGGCTTAGAAGTGGAAAGTACAGTTTTTGAGCAATAATATTGCTAATGTCTCTAACTACTAAATCCCCTTTTAGTATTAGCACTTGAACCAACTTTTCTGAACTGTTACATTGATTAAGACTCTGTCTGCCCTGGGGAAGTCATTCTAGAACTCTGCAGTCAACATGTATCAGAGAGCATGGTAACGCAACAATGACTAATTACAGAAACATCCCTTCAAGAATCCTTAAAAAAGCATATGGGTTAAAAGTAAATACTTTATGCTAAAAAATTCAAGACAAGATTAGAATGTGGTTAATTTACTGTATTCAGAGAGACTACGGCAAGGGTGTATTTACTCAGCAGGATCAGGGATTCCTTTTTTGTGCTGACTGCATCTGTCTGTCATGGCTCTGGAAGGGCTCGTCAGTGGGGCTGAGGGTACACTGTACTTGGGACAGCCTTACGCCAGGGCCTCACCTCTCCTTTTCCAATGGCTTCCCCATCTTTGTTCATTTTTCTGTTTAGCACGATACCCTGACACTAAGGACATACACGTGTGTGCGCGTGCGTGCACACGCGCTGGCGGGGGTGAGTTCCCTGAACTCTGACCTCCTTCTGGGCACGGCAGATGACCACTGCCACGCCTCACATCGTCTCAGGCCAAATACACCTCTCCCGCTGAAGCGGCTATCGAACAACGCTGACATCGATGCAAAATATCCGATACTAGCTCTTGGTTCTGGATGTGTAATTCCCGGGGTGGCTAATTCCTTGGCAGTAAAATGAACACTAATGGTGTTCATTACTTAATGTTTTTTTAACAAGTCTGCTCTCGTGCTGGTGCTACGACTAGGGTTCCAGGCCACAATGTCACTGTGGTCACAGGGGGTGTGACTGATGGCGGCCAGGGGATAATGCTCTCTGCCTATTGGTAGCTGGAATCAAATCTCACTTCCTGTGTTACACGTCTCACATGGACTTAAAGTCTGGGAAATGAATGTCTTATTGGCATTTTAAGACAAATAATTGCAAACTTTCCCTTGGAGTTGTAATAACTCAAAACCAACTTGTCCTTTATAAGGAAAAGTAAAGATAAATCTGCTTGTTATAAACAAAGTCATCCTCTGCAGTTGAAAACACACTGGGAAAGCTGTCCAAAGTAATGGAGTTGAATCTACTTTTAAAGGACATTGAAAAGAAATTTAGATTTTTTGCTATCAAGCTGTGACCAATTTAGAAAAATAAATAGTAAATAGAACTACCATACAGAGGTGATATTCTTTAAAATGCATTTATTGCCCGTATTTTTCTCTTACCAGGAAAAACAGATGTTTCTTAGGAACTAAAATGTGGTTCCAACATCTGCCTGGAACTAGGTCTCACTGCCCCCACTCTTTCTCCGGGGACACCGCAATAGGGCTGTTCAGGGGCATAATGTTTGGAACCAACTCCAACCCAATGACCCCCAGTGGTTTCCAAAGTTATATAATCCTGGGGAATCCCTGCTACCCGAGAGGAGTCATTTAGCCTTCAAGCAAACTCTTGGGCCAAGATTTGAAGGCATCCCTGATGGATGAACACTTGGGTTTCTTTCCATATTGCGTCCTTCTGTGGGATGTTCTTTCTATGGTCCCCAAGGCAAAATGGAGCAAGCATTAGAGTCACTTAGGTGTTTTTCATGCTCACAATCTCATGCTATTTCATTTCTCTGAGGAAGCTTCATTTCAACTACAGCTATCCATACTTACTTTATCTAAGGAGTGAACTCCGGCCTTGTTCTCTCTGCCTCTGTAAGTATGAGTGAGTCACAGAAACCTCTCCTCTCCAGCCTGAGCAAACTGGTGAGTTTTCACTTTCTACGGAAGACATGCTAAATTGCAACCATGATCGAGGAGAGTTTAATTTATAAGGTAGGGAGGGGAAGGGGTCAGTAAGGGATGCTTACTTAATAAAATACACTGAATATTTTTATTTTGGGGTTTCTGCTGATCACTGCACTCAAGCTCTGTTAATATGTAAAGCCAGTGAGTTTGAGGTTCAAGACTGAACCTTCCGAAGGACTGTTTCTTAAACGGAGTACAAAAGTGGTACCCTAGTGTCAGACAGCTGAGTAGCCCTAAAACCTCTTTTGTGCTCTGATTTTTTTCTTTCAATGTTTTTACTTATTTTGCATATGCAAGCGGGGGAGGGGTAGATAGAGAGGGAGAGAGAAGATCTGAAGCAGGCTCTGTGCTGACAGAGAGCCCGATGTGGGGCTTGAACTCACAGATTGTGAGATCATGACTGGAGCCAAAATCAAGAGTCAGACACGTAACCAACTGAGCCACCCAGGCGTTTTTATAATTATAGTATAGAAGACTGCTCGGCTTTGCTCCTTTGCTTGTGAAAAGGCAGGATGAAATATTTCTGGCAGGATGGTTCTACTGTGATACCAACTGTCTTGTTTCCGGGCACTGGAGGAACCTGTAAGAGAGGAGAGATGTTCTCCTTCTCTCTCCCAAGAGTTTGCCAAGTCTTCGTGCTGCCTTTCCTGAGGGTATCGTTGGTGACTTCTGTTTAATGACAAAAGCAGAATTTTCCAGGCACCAGAAGACACACTGGACCTCATATGGGACTGAGAAGGGTATAGGAGTGGGGAAGATGGGTTGAGAGGAAAAGAAAAAAGCCAGTAAGCAATGGGTTCTCAGCACTGGCCACGATTCCCTGCTCCATTGTGGACAGAAGCAGCCCAGACTCAGGCAACATGCGAGTCTGACCCAAACTGAATGGTGGTGACCAGTTAATACCCAAGCTCTAAGGTGCTTCCTTCAATACACTGACTTAGTGAGACCCCTAGGGGCACTCCCTGAAATGATGGGGATTTACCTTTCTTCCAGCCTGATTACATTTGATTTAAAGGGGGGGAAAAAAGGAGAACGACCTTTCTTGCACCTTGGTATTCTGACCTGAAATTTACCCTCACAACAACAAACACACCCCTATTCGTGTGTGTTTATCATTTTTTTTTAATTTTTTTTTTCAATTATTTATTTTTGGGACAGAGAGAGACAGAGCATGAACGGGGGAGGGGCAGAGAGAGAGGGAGACACAGAATCGGAAACAGGCTCCAGGCTCTGAGCCATCAGCCCAGAGCCCGACGCGGGGCTCGAACTCACGGACCGCGAGATCGTGACCTGGCTGAAGTCGGACGCTTAACCGACTGCGCCACCCAGGCGCCCCTGTTTATCATTATACGTACAAACAGGCATACATTCACCAAACATTGTGGAGGGTTTGGGAAGGGTGCTGGAGGAGGTGCCATTGTGTTCCTTTAATTTAAGTCATTAAATTAAATTAAGTTTGAGTGCTTTACAAGCGATAGTCTCCCTTCTGATGAATTTGGGGGTTACTTCCGAGAGAAGCCAGTCACAGGGCACTGGTTACATGCACTCACCCTGGACCACTCTCCTTTTCCATTTCCTGCTTTGTCAGGAAGTGGTGTGCATTCCCTCGGGAGGAAATAAAGGCCCGATGCAGAAGGACTTGGCCCAGGGAAGTGCCTGAGCCGCCGGGGACCTTCGGACATGATCCTTTTAGGTGCACAGCCCATGCACTTTGGACCGTAAACATTTTGTTTGAGAAAGACCCCTGTGTCACTGGTGGGCTCACAGACTGGCTCCCTGATGGGTGCGGCAGTTCCGAGTGTTAAGCTAGCGCAATTTCAGAATGGCAGGGCCCTGCTTCTCCCAAGCACGGTGATGACGCTTTCAGCCTGAGGATCAGCGATGAAACCAAACCTCACCTCTGCTTCGCAGTGCTGATTCTGATCAGAGATGGGCTCATTCCACCCGTGACAGGAAGTTTAATTTCTAGACTTACTTGGTACTTGACTCCATTAAAACAAAGCCTGAAAGCCAAAGTCAACTGGGAGACACAGCGCGTCTGTAAGCTGAGTAGATTCCTCCGCTCTCTGCGGCTGGATCAAAGCCCCTCCAATAGGGCACTGGTTCCCTTCCTAAGGCCCGTCTTATAAGACTGGCTGCTTCTATTTGCGGGGGGAAAGGTGGCATTTTCTTCTTCCTTTCGGCTCCTGCTAAAGGTGCTCTGGTACCGTCATTTACAAGGTCATGCAACTGAAAGCAAAGGCGTGGCCCTGCTGCACAAGGCACCCGCTAGCACCACGTACCGTGCACGGTTACGCAGAGGCTCTTCGGTCAGCGTGTTAGAGGAAAGGGTGACGCAGCTGCCGTACATCTCCTAGAGAGGTGCAATCAGACATCATCTGAAAACATGCAAGGAACTCAGCACATGCACGCGTCTCGATAAACAGGAAGCATGCAGGAGGCAGATTAGTGGACGCAAGCTTCATACATACTTCGAGGGGCACGGGGAGCTGGTGGGATCCTTCTCTTACTCCTGAGTGACAGAACCCATTAAGTTACTCGGGAAAGTCTTATTTGAGCAAGGTAATTTTGGGCATACGAAGCCCAAAGGGGGTGGGCTTCGGGGCAGGGGTGTGACTTTTCTCGCGGAAATACACACGTGAGGAAGTCCTTTGCCACAAAGGCAACTGACGTTGGAAATCAACGTATAGTTAAAATCGGTGTTCAATTCATTAGATACTAACTGAAACTCCATTTTAGTATTGCAAAAGGAATCTGGACAGTTCTTCAACTGCACTGTAATGGAATTTTACCATATGGCAAAGTATCAATTATGCAGGCTGTGACTCTCTAGATCGCAGGATGGATATTCTAGTTCCTTCTACCCCTCAGCATTTCGCATTTTGGCTACTGTACCATTTTTTGGACGGCATGGCATGTGCAGAGCATACAGGACACATTGCCTACAGCCTACAAAGACATTCATATCTCCCATTCACCAGTTTTAAACCACAGATTATAGTCCCCGGTTTTCTAGTAAATGCAATTATAAGATATAGTTCCCGCCACACTCTGCCATCCCTTATGTACTGCCAAGTGCTTCAGACTGCTATGGCAGCCTGATCAACACTCAGGGGTGAGTATCATAAAACGCCAACGTGGAGGTCCCTATGGTGTATTCATTTCAAAGGTCATTCCAAAGTGGAGTAGTTAAGTCTTTGGAAATAGAGTTTCTATTTATGCGCTCTTTAATCGGGCTTGAGGATAAACTATCCGGTCAGATGAGGAGAACAAACTCTTCCTGAGGCAGAATCTGTGCCAAGGAAGGGCCTGATTTCTCATCGATTGGTGGTCTCATCTTACAGAAATGCCTTCCAGTTTAGGACTCCTAACACTCAAGGATGAAACTATTTTGGGAAACTGGGGGACCAGAATATAACCTCCTGTGATTTCTTTCATCTTTCTCTTTTAGCATATTTTCCAAGGAAGAGCAAAGCGTATATACTTTAATATGACATATCTCCTTAAAGAACACATGGACTTAGCTGTCCATGCATCCCTTTGGAATTTTCTGGGGATTCCCTCAAGGTGGCAAAGGTCAGCAATCTGTAGTGTTAGGAACAGCACAGTGAATTCACAGGCAAGAAATGGGATATTCTCCAAAAGGCACTCACCGCCTTATTCTTTCCTTTGCTAGCAGAGCTCACGGGACTTCTCTTGGCATCTGTTGTCTTCCTTCCAAGTGAGGTTAACGGCAGTGTGGAGGTCTTCAGCTGGTTGGCTGCCTGGTAATTGTTATTATTGTTCTGGTTGCCACTGAGCGTCTCCATGATAGACCGGAAGGTTCCAAAAGGCCTTTTCAGTTGATCCCCCGATTCGCTACCCGTAGAGGTCCTCTGGGGGGTCCTGCCCTTATCTCTGTCCTTCTCGCCAGTGGGCTCGAGGCTAGCTTGCTCCATCTGGACCACGGGCTCCTCAAAGGTAACTCGGAGTTTTAAGTTCTGAGATGTCCGGCGCTTGGAAGACGGAGACTTGAGGGCACTCTTGGGGCTCATGGCCACTTTCTGGGTGGCGGTGCTGTCAGGGCTGGGCTGAGTAGGGTCTCCGGAGGGCTGGCTTGGGGGAGTGGTCCCTGAGGTGGCACACTGGGATTCCAAGTCGGGTTCGCTGCTCTCGGAGGTGGGAGATGGGCTATGGCCGTCTAGAGATTTGGAGGCTTTGATACCAAAAGGAAACCTGCGTCCTGATGCCAACGTGTGTTTCTTGATCATCAGGTGCAGGCTTTCTGCGCTGTCCACACTCTCCACACTTCCCACGATGGGCTGCGGTCTGGGCCTGTCGGCCTTCCTCACGGGTGTGCTCTTGGGGTCCTCAGAGGTGTTGGAATCGGTGTCGGACTCACTCAGGGACCGCTGCATCAGCTGCCTCAGCCGAGCCAACTTCAGCTCCCTCTTGTCTGCAGGGATCTTCTTTGAGTTTCTAGAAGAAGCCTGAGCATCCTGGAATTCCAAGGACAGCTTTTCCTGGGTGCAGACACTCTCTGAGATATCCTTCCCCAGTAACTGGCGGAGGATTTTGTCAGAATCTTCATCTTTTGCTTTGGCCCTGGCCCGGCTGGATGCCGACAGGCTTCCGAGCACCTGAATCCCCTCTTGGACCCCGGGTTTGCTCTTGGCTACAGACTCATCATCCGCATCTGGAGATTTCCACTGGGACCTTCTGGAAGCGGGGGAGGATGGCGAACTGAAAGATGATGAAGAACATATGAGGTGATCTCCTATCACTGATTGCCTCCACTGCCACTAACGACTTACAGATCGACAGGACTGGAATAAGAAAAACCACTTAATGTCTGTGCTCATCAATCTCCAAATAACTCCAGAGAGGTAACCATGACCACAGTGTAGTGGGCCTCCTACCTAACGCTATGACGAGAGATCTGTCTACTGTTTACTGTTTACACATCAATGTTGTGCCAATTGCATTCATTATTCTCATCTTCACCAACCTTATACACCTACGCATCCTTATTCCCATTTCACAGGTGAAGAAATGAAGGAATCTGACTGTGACTTTTCTGTAGTCAGACAATGAAGAAATGGCAGAACCAGAGATGAAGCCGGGTCTTCTGACATCAGGTCCAGGGCGTTTTCCCCCTGTAACGTCTCATATTTATTCCTCTTTATAAACATAAAATACGTTCTGTTTTTGTCTTCTTAAAGTCCAAAAGAAGGCTCAGAGACTAAAGACACCTAAGAACTCTAACCATTAATGTTCCTGGTATTACCTGGGCAAGGAAAGGAGGGACTTGCCCTCTGATTTCTGGGCTTCTAGAAGTTGTTGGAGCTGGTTCTGCAGTGTGACACGTTCCATTGTCTGTCTGGGAAAAGTGAAGCGAGACACATAAGCTCTCTGATACATGGCCACTACTATAAGTGAGTAGGTATAAATTTTGTCATGATAATTTGCAATAAATTGCACTAAATCCCAAAGCCTTACAAATACGCCTGTCCTTCGTCCTTACCGTGCAGAAATCTTCGAAGGACACAGTCAATTACCCAAAAGGATGCTTATTATTCACATTAGCAAGAAACTCTAAGTAGCCTAAATGCTCATCAATAAGACTCAGTGAATAATTTAGTTGCTTCCATAGAGGCAGCTATTAAAAATGATGATCTATTCCAGTAGCCATGACATAGAAAAAGTTTCCCTCGTATATGTATAGATACATATAGATATAGAAATACATATACATATATATACATACATATATTAAGTAAAAAAGGAAGTTATAAAAATAGTGGGTGTAGTATAATTTTTTTTATATTTTAAGAAACAAAAGAATATAAATATAAATATAAATTTCTTTATATGAGAGAAATATAAAAGAAACATTTTTAAGAAATCCCTCTCTGTATATAAAATATGTATTACTTATAACATATATGCTTATATCATACTCATATGGATTATTTTCTCTTTCCACATTGTTTAAATCTTTACTTATAACATATATGCTTATATCATACTTATATGTATTATTTACTCTTTCCACACTGTTTAAATCTTTAAAGTAATTGTATTAATGCAGTGATCAGAAAAGAGCAGAATAAGAGCAACAAAAGCAGACTATTTCCACAGGGGGTAAAAACAATGAAATAACTTAGCATTTTCTTACATAAAGGGAAACCTGGTATGGCAACGCTCAATTTATTCTGGACATAAAAGCGGAATGTACTTTAAATGGTATCAGAACGTGCTTTAAATTTAAGAAAAATCAGTTAAATGCCGCAGGTGACGGAAATTAACATCTGTTTAGAAAACATAATTAGAGAACTTGAAAAAAGTAAATCCAACTGATTCTGACTTTAGAAGAATAAGCAGTATTTACTGAACTCTTTATTCGTTTTATGACCACCCGCCACCCCCCAAGGATGGCCATCAGATTCTAATCCCTGGAAGGTGAGAATATACGTTATCTTATGCGGCAAAAGAGATTTAGTGTTGCAGATAGAATTAAGGTTGTTATTGGCTGACAGGAAACCAGGGAGGCTATCTTAGGTTATTATTATTGGTTATGCCATCCAACCACATGTCTTTAACAGTGAGGAGGAGGAAGATGAGGTCAGACGCACTCAGTGTGAGGACTCCATCTGTGAGTGCTGGCTCTGAAGAGGAAGGAAGGGGCCAGGAGCCAAGGAATGCAGCGGTCTCTAGGTGCTGGCGGTGACCCTCAGCTGACAGCCAGCAAAAGAAGGGAACCTTGGTCCTACGACCACAAGGAACTGATTCTGCAACCGGACTCTCATTCTAGAGCCTCCAGAAAGCAACATAGCCTGCAGACAACTCAATTTTAATCTGGAGACCCATTTCGAGTTTCAGACCTACAGAGTTGCAAGATGAATTTGTGTTGTTTTAAGCCACTAGGTGTATGCTGATTTCTTATAGGAGTAGAAAATGAATACAGGTAGCATCAAAAATGGTACACTCTCTCATGGGCCAGGGTGTGGAACCAGATGAATGAATTACAAGTGTTCTTATGACGACCGCCAGACTGTAGATACAGGCTTGAGGAAGCCTAGCGTTCTCCTTGCTGAGTGTCACCGCACACACTCAACAACCACTGGCCACCTAAACCTAGTTCTGTGAGATCAGACCACGAGGATACCCTGCCATCTCCCCAAGTACTCTGTTTTTCAGACATGGTCAGTTTTAGTCCTAACATTTCATCCCTAAGAAAAGAAAAGTCTGTGATCTCAGTTTATCTCACTCGTTCTGTGACTCACCTACTGAAAATTTAATTGTCTAAAGAAGGAGACAGCAGGGGCGCCTGGGTGGCTCAGTTGGTTAAGCATCCGACTTCAGCTCGGGTCATGATCTCAGGGTTTATGAGATCATTTTAACTTGATTCCTTCTATAAAGACCCCATCTCCAAACAGGCATACATTCTGAGGTACTAGAGGTTAGGACTTCAATTTATCTTTTATTTTTAGGACAGGACATAATTCAACCAGGGAGACCTAGGCTTGTACATGAGGACTTCTAACAGAGCTGAAGGTTGCCATTTAAAATTTTTTTTTAATTTTTTATTTACTTGTTTTGAGAGAGAGAGAGAGAGAGAGAGAGAGAGAGAGAGAGATAAAAAGACAGCAGGGGAGGGGAAGAGAGAGAGGGAGACAGAATCCCAAGCAGGTTCCACGCCGTCAGCACAGGGCCCGCTGTGGGCCTTGAACTCATGGACCATGAGATCATGACCTGAGCCAAAATCAAGAGTCGGACACTTAACTGACTGAGCCACCCAGGCACCCCTGGAGGTTGCCATTTTTAAATAGTAATTATCTTTATAATGATAAAGAGTTAGTAAAGGTATTCTAGTAGGAAAAGGCATTCAGCACTCTCACTCAAAATTTCGGACTAGAAAAACTCTTATTTTTCAACCCTCCTTTTTCACCTTTCTGTGTTGTTGGTGCCCTGGAGCTTGAAGGGTATAGGGTGCTGTGGCTAGACTAAGTGGACTTCCCTTTTCACTTCTAGTTTCACCCATCTCACTGAGGAACATGGTAAGTAAAAGACCAGGGTCTACAACATAACTTCTCATATTTTATCTTGTCACTGGCCTAACGATAACTGGCTACAGCATTCAGCTTTGGAAACAGCAGAAGAGCTGTTATCTATTAGCATACATGTGTATTTTATCCTAGGCCCATCAACAGGGAAGGCAGCCAAGACCCTGACCTTGAACTGCTCACCAATAAAACAGCTATTATAGCTCGTGAAGAGCTCACAACTCCACGGTATAGAGACTGAGGACCATGTTTTTTGGTCTTTTCGAGTATGAATCTTTAGAAAAAAAAATTCTACTGGATTATTTGAAAGCTCCTCTGAATGGCGCCCCCCCCCATACACTACTGGGGGGCAGGGATATTGCTACAATATTTCTGGAAGGATATTAGGCAGCATCTATCCACATTTTAAATACTTATGCCCTGTGTTCTAGCAATTGCCTTTCTAGGAGCTTAGCTTTAGAAATACCTACACATGTACCTAAAGACATGTGTACAAGGATGTTCGCTATGGAAACGTAACTTACTGAGTTGTCAGTTTGTGGGCATTTTCCCCTCAGTTACAAGAAGTTCTTAAAGCTCACTTTGCTCCCTCCCCCTGGGGAGATTTGTGTAACTGGGCAGAGGATACTTGGAGGGAACCCCTTTAATGTTTAATTTTGCTTTATTCTTCCCATTACAATTTTTATTTTATTTCTTTTTAAAATTTATTTATTTAGGGGCACCTGGGTGGCTTAGTTGGCTAAGCGTCTGGCTCTTGATTTCAGCTCAGGTCATCTCACAGTCTGTAACAAAATCCCGAGTCAGGCTCTGCACTGATGGCAGGGAGCCTGCCTGGGATTCCTTCTCTCCCTCTCTCTCTGCCCCTCCCCTGCTCATGCTCTTTTTTTTCCTCTCTCAAAATACATAAAAGAAACATTTTTTTTAATCTTTAAAATTTACTTATTTCAATTCAACTTCGTTAATATACTGTGTAACAATGCCTTCAGGAATAGAACCCAGGGATTCATCACTTACATATAATACAATACCCAGCGCTCATCCCAACAAACATCCTCAATTTTTAAGTCCTGTTTCCAGTGAAAACCTAACTGGGTTTTCATTAAAGAGGGCATTCTAGTAGGGAGGGCAGGAGGGTACAGAGAGACCTGGCCCCTGAGACAAGAGCGGGGGAAGTAGGGAGACCAAGGTTTTGCCAAGCTTAGAGAAGAGCTGGAGGGTCCGGGGATGTGCCAGACTGTGGCCTGGTTACACCGTAATCAGGTAAGGCCTCCCATCCACCATACGTCTCTCTTCAATGGGAAAAAGGTTTTTAAAAATAATTTAAAACACTTCGTATTTTGCTCCTAACATTTAATTTTTAGGGTTCATCCTCCTAATCTGTCAACATGACTCTGAATGCTGATTCCGATTTTTAGTGATTCCCTCCCCAATACGGTAACTGTCATTCGGCTGGTGTTTCCCAAAGTCTGACTTTAATCCTCTAAAGTGCTGTCGGCACCTTGATCTTCATCCTGCTAGAGACCTACCTGACAGCTTCTCCACTGTCCCCCTCTCTTCACGCTTATCCTGACAACCTCCCACAAATGGTTCCTGACGTCTAGGTAAGCCGTGGGTAGCCGCTCAATAATCTTGGCGAGAACAGAACTCACTCCGTCTAGACCAAGAAGCTTTTAAGTAACATCACGCTGACCAAACACTCTTCTGCGTTCTGAAGAGTCACGAATCGTCTGCTTAATTTTTCTAATAAATTTACTGGTGATGGTTGCCAGATCATCTGTCTGTAATTCCTCAAATACACATTTCTCTTTTGCAAAGCTGGGAAATGGGTCTATCTCTAGTTTTTTGCTTTTTTTGTCTTTTGTTTTTCTCTCTCAGGCACTTTATGATTTCCTAGCACGTAAAGGACAGGAGTCTGGGGACGCTGCCTGTGTGTTCTTTCTATGACCGCTAAGAAGTTGGCCCCGGAGATACGCACACAGAGAGAGCCCGTCTGTCATCCCACACACCTTACGTTCCCTGCTTAGGAAGTTTGCTCTGCACTGTTTGTTTAAACGTCAATTTGCCTCTGGTACCTGCGGCACGGGTGCTGGCCGGGAAGACCTGGGACAGAAGAAGAAAAGCCGAGAGAGGAAGGCTAGGAATTCCCTGTTCAACCAGCATGAGACTGCTACAACCAAAGCACCTGGCTCAAACCTAAGCGAAGTGATGACAAGCCAGTCTCGGTGGTCACGGCAAGAATGGGTCACTTACTCCTTCAGCTGCTTGGTCAGCTTCACCACCTGAGAGGCCAGCGACATGCAGGTCTCCACCACCACCAGGTACCGGGAGCACAGGGTGTGCCCGTGGCGCTCGGCGCTCTGGGAAGGCTTCTCCCCGGCGTGGTTGTGCATGGTGACATTTGCTCCGTATTCAACCAATGTCTGTCAGAAAATGCAAAGGCACGTGTCATTCTAAGACCTCCCCTGCAGCATTTTTGTTTTTTCATAGGACTGTAACAGAAAGGCGAATGGAACTTTTCCTGTT